CTACCCACTCGTAGCCTTTCCTTAATATAACTTGTCTTTGAGCCTGCTATTAAGAAATGAGAGACATGCAGAAAGATTGTTTTTATGATCTGCATAAAGAAATGCAAGGAGAAAGATAGTTTGTTTTTACTGTAATCCTATTGATAGAAAGTATACGAGGAATGAATGGTGAAAGCAATGGATACCAATCTCTTCTTCTAGAGAGGGAAAGCCTTAAGGGGGTGCCTTTTTGGGTCTGAACTAGAAGAGTGTAAGAGCTACGGCAATGAGATTTTAAGAGAGATTTATCTGTTTTTCTTCCTATGATCAAGAAAAACTTGGAGTTGTATGAGTCAAATAAAAAGAAATTGAATTTTTGACTACTCCAAGAGAGTTGCAAGCTTACCATATCTATGGTTAGATAAATTTTGTTGTTCGGAGGTTCATCAAGTTCCTTGCTGCAAAAATCATCGAAGCCATAGAAGGAAAGAAAGATCTGTAGAGCAGTCTTTTCTCTTTCCAAAAAATTTCATTTTCCCATTAGAGCTTTTGATGTGATCATTTGCATCAATGAGACTTTAAAGAGTTGATGCTTCCATAGGGTTGCAGGCAAGAGGAGGGGCAAGAGTTTTAGAGAGAGAAAAGGGAGGGAGAGGAATATGAGCGGGTTTCAACAGGGGATGAGGGAAGTACCAAAAAGGCAAAAAAAAATACAATTAAAAACCATTCACACGCTCCACTACGTAACTAATTTAAAGATTTATAGATCATTAGAATGAACGATCGAAAATTTAGATACATCCTATTATGGTGTATTTAAAATACATAGGATCATTCCCCCCGTAAATTATATTTAATATTGAACTTTTCCCAAAAATTAAACTTTTCCAAAAATTGTATGTGTATACGTATATGTATATGTACTCTCACCATTATAATCAAAGAATGAGATGATACCCATTGTGTCACATCAACAGGCTAACTGGCCATACAACTAATAACATGAGCAGTAAGGCCAGAATCTCACAAATCGACTTTCAAAAAAGTAAATTTATCAGATCTGAACGTTGCTCTGATACCAAGTTGAAAAGACATCTAGATCTAGGTCTAAATCTAGTCCGTATAAAATCAGAATAGAGAAGAAGAGGAGGAAGAAAAGATATGAGAGACAAATATGAGAGAATATGTGGATAAGTCTATTGTGGTAGACAATGCACACTTTATATATTGATCACATGGAACAAATTACAAAATATACCCGTATTTAAACCCTGACACCTTCACATTGAGAGGCTATAGAGTAGCAGTATGGATTTTTGTACATAGAGAGCTCCAAAGAGCTCATTTTATCATTGTAATTGCATCTTGGGTGTACCTACTCCAACACTCGCTAACTTAGCCAACCTAGCTGAGAGACGCATTAGAGGTGACTATCTATACAGTATCATATGTTGCTTTGTTGTTTCTTCCTTGTAGCATTTGAGTTAAATGAAAATGGCTATAATATGAATTCCTGGAGAGTTTGACTTGAGACATACTAGAGGTGACTATCCATACAGTAATATATGTTGCTTTGTTATTTCTTCCTTGTAGCATTTGAGTTAAATGAAAATGACTATAATATGAATTCCTTGAGTGTTTAACTTTACTTTATCAACCCATCCAAAGGGTATCCCAATCCCATGAAAGGCACCAACGAGTGATACAGGTGCCTCAAAGTTCCAGATGTGTAGTATATGAAGACGGTTTTGTGAGAAGGCAAAAATTGAATATTGAGAAATGAGGGGTTATTAGGGCACTCTGAGGGATTTTAATGTTGGGGCTATGTGGCCATTTAAAGGCCTTAGGAGAGCATGTAAAACTATGATTATAGTGACATGATTACTCCAGTGGGAGTATGGTCCAAAGGGACTAAAAGATTATGATCCAGAGGGACCGAATTTGGCAACACTGATGCCAAGACTCAAACTAGACTTGACGAGCTAGGCCAATTGAGTACAAAAACCCTAAGAAACAAGGGCATAGAGCACAACCGAGAGGGTTAGCAGGGTTATTCCTTGATGAGGTCAGAGATGCCCAGAGTAAGTGAGCCAAGGAACTGTTTGACCCTTACATGTGATTGATAGACCTGATAGGACAAGGGCCAAAGCCTCATCATAGACCATTACATGGCATATACACATGATAGTCATATCAAGAAGCAAAGCATCCTTGAGGGTGATGCATGTACGTATGCAAGAGATAACCCCCTATGCACCAATTGCGATATGTGTGCACAGGTCTATGTGACCTAGGACTTGTCCCACAAGGGAAGCTGTAATCCATAGACCAGGATTGTGTCCCCTCACCTATTGACTGACTGTGGTAATCCAAACATGAATTATGATGGACTGTGGGTCATGGGAACTACTGGGTCAATTTGAGAAAGTGGGTGTGGCTCATGGTCTCTAGTAGAAAATGAAGTGCTTTAGTAATTTCATTTTTTCTTTAGCATAATTGGATCTAAATCCCATCAAATTAATTTAGAAATAATTAATTTGACTATAAATATTTTAGATTGATAAAATGAATTTTTAGAAGTCTCTGGATATTTTATTTTCTCAAAATAGATTTATAAATAAAAGGAAATATAAGGATATTTTGTGTAGAGAATGAAGGGAAATAAAAGGAAAGAGAAATATATTTTCTATGTATTGAATATTTGATGGGATTAGGTTAACAAAACAGAAGGATAAGGTTCTAGCACCTTCCAATAGATCATGATAGTTGATCTATGGATTGTAAGGATAAGATCTCTCACCTCACAGATCTCCTATGATCAATGGTCAAGAACGAATTTTCATAAGGATGGCTAAACCCTAGAGACCCTAACCCTAACCCTAACCCTAACCCTAACCCTAACCTGAGTCTATATAATGCCTCATTTGGGGATCCCATCTCTACAGCTCAAGACACAACTCTCTCTCTCTCCTCACAAAGGTGGCACGCCACTCTCTCTCTCTCTCTCTCTCTAAGCTCTCTCATCTCTTTAGCCTCCCCAAAAGAGTTAGAAAATATTATTGAAAGAAAGAAAGAGGGCCACGCCCCAAGCATAGAGCCTAGAGAGGCTCGCCCCATACACAGTCTTGTAGGCTCAAGATTGTTCCACATTGCTCTCATCCTTGAAGAGTTTCTAACCAACGCTTCCCATAGCTGTGAGATCTTTGAAGGACCTTGATCCCATGCACCATCAGAGGAGGAGACCCGCAGTGGAATGTATCACGTCCAGTTGAGGTAATCTTCTGACACTTTATTTTTTGTTTATGAAGTTTGTGTTTCTTGTTCCCAAGTGAGTCTTATGTAATTTATATTATTGGAATATATTAAATGGCAACAAGTGAGAATCCATTTTGTGATTCATCTTTGTTTATTTTGAGTTCAATTTGTAATATTTGGACTCTGTAAGTGTTCTAGCCGTATAGAAAAGAAAAATTTTAAAATCGTATATACCGTGCTAGTTCACCCGGTCCAACTTTCATTTAATTCGCAATCCAGTCCAAAGTAGAAGGAAGGTGACACAATAAGAGATTCAAAAGCACAATAGAAAGTTCTAAATTTACCGCCATTTCAAAGTTGGAGGAAAGTATGGTAGGCCTCTCTTTATAACAAATTCAGAGGGTACCATGGGCTCTCTACGGTTTAGGATTTAAAGGCAACAGGTTAAAAATGTTAAGCAGCAAATTTATGGGAATTAAAGCTATCTGAGTTCCAAAATAAAATAGTCGTAGATGTTCCCTGAATGATGCCAGTAGAGACTTGTCAAATAAGAAGTAGAGAGACTTCTTGCAGATTTTGTATAAGATAGGCATGGCTGAGAAGGCCCGGAGACATATGCCATATGTCTGATGACAAATTGTGGCATGCATAAGTAAGCAATAACTTGGAATATGGCACGATTTTAAAGAGGCTGCAGAATTCAGCTTCAGTATGCTAAAAGGCAGTAATTATTTAAAAATGGTAAGATTTTAAATTTAAATAAAAAAACTAACAATAACTTGGAAAAAGGCATTAAAAATTTTTGAAAACTCGGTGAGTTGTTTAAATATAACTTAGGACTTCTACAGTTTCAAAAATGTATATAACTTAGGACTTCTACAGTTTCAAATATGTATATAACTTAGGACTTCTACAGTTTCAAATATGTATATAACTTAGGACTTCTACAGTTTCAAATATGTAAATAACATAGGGCTTCTACAGTCATATTTTTTGGGAGACAAAACATCTTTCCTCAATGGGTACTTGAAGATCAACATCAATCTTTAGGATTTTATGCTATTTAAAGGAAATTTTATGTTTAAAAACAAATATTCACCAAATCTCACCAACTATTTTTGGGTTTCCTTGACTGAAAGCAAAAAACGATGCATCACAAGGGCTGAACGAGCTTTAAATGCACATAAAAAAGTTACCTAAAAAAAATGATTGATGTTAAAAGCAAGTTAATCATGGACTAGTAAATAAGATGAAGGAAATTTCCATTCATCCCTCCCTATGTTAATTGATAACCTACCTAAATGACATGTCTAGATAGCATGGCCAGATAGCACAAATACACAGTTTTTGTAGCATAATCCATTGCCTTAAAAATTAATTTTTTAAATACTTTTCAAATTACAAGTATCAAATTACCAATATCTAACAAAAGTTATACAAAAACATTAAGCTCTGTTCCATGACTTCCTCAACCCTTTTTGGGAAAAACTTATTGCTTATATATGTTGTCAGAAATTTATCATCTGCTATGTTTAGAAGAATACCCAAAGACATCCCATCAAATCACCTGAAGCACCAAAGCACATCCCTAACCAAATGGAGGCAAGCTCCAAAGTGAATATGATAACATTGATAATGACATAATAAAATGAGACTAATAACATATGCAAAGCGAGAAGAATAAAGGTGTACTATTTAAGCAATTGGAGCAGGTGAATTTCATATTAGTGTATAATACAAGCATGGATCTTTAGTAGAGTGCTCACTCCAAAGAGAGCGAGCATGCCCTTAGAGCCAGCGTGGGACTTGAGCATCTAATGTTTTGAACCCTGAAATGCGGTCATTTGCATCGTAACATTCTCAAGAAAATCAATTGAAGGGGTGAAATACAATTGAAGGGTGGTCGACAAAAGAAAAAAGGATAATGAAGAAATCCTTTTAAAACAGCAATGCGAATATTCCATTTTTGGCAATTGCAACTAAAAGCCAATTATAGGAACCAAACCTTTTGTTTGTCCAGCGAGAGAAAACAATTACATCGGCTCCAAGCCGCATTGTACTCGTTTTGAAACCATTTCCATCTGAAAGGTGACAAATAAATCAACAAAAACTGCAGTAACAAGTGAAAGCCAAAAAAAACAAATGAGAGGCATCGGATACATACACTGTCCTATTGTAGAGGTCGATTGTTTTTGTGAATAACCCAAGCTCATGCACTGGCGCATGCACTCAGGACCCATTCCACCTCCATCATCTTATTGCCAGACCAAAATGATTTCGATCAAAAGTTAGGATTGGAAATGTCAGAAAATTAAAAATAAAAAGAAACTGCAAAATCTATGGAGATGAGTCAAAAGATATGTGGTTGATATCCAGTATCACATGAGTTAATAGTTCACAAATACCTTGAATAAGCAAGGCAGCAGCGCCATCTCGAGGATTCACCACTTTATCTATGTTTACAAAAGTAGCCCCATTGTTGATCTGATATCAGTAATATACAAATCATCCATTTAAAAAAATAGGAAATTACAAAATAAGAGTAGATTTTCTAACAGCAGAGCCATATGACGTTGTTAAATGCCTACAAGTACAACTTTGAACAGTAATTGTGTGTCCTTTACTTCATTTCCGTTTTGAGGGTGCAGTAGAGAGAGAGAGAGAGAGAGAGAGAGAGAGAGAGAGAGAGAGAAGAG